ATTTTTTTTTTAAAAAAAAAAAAAAAAAAAAAAAAAGAATAGCCTTTTAGCGTCGTAAATAATTTATGAGTGAATGTTGTTTTTCTTTATGTTAATATTACTCTATCAATTTAAATATATAAAAGGAAATATTTAATAAAGAAAAATCATATTTAAGCGGAAATTAATGTTAACAAAAAAATATAAAATAAATATACGCAATCAAATATAAAAATACAAATAAAATATAGAAAAATCATAATAAAAAATTTTGTGAAACAAAATATGCATATGAAATTGTACAAGGTAAATAATCATTTAGCAAAAAAAAAAAAAAAAAAAAAAAAAAAAAAAAAAAAAAAAAAAAAAAAAAATATAAATATAATTGAATATCAAATACAAAGATACAAATGAAAGAATGTAAAAAATTGGTTTAAAAAAGAAATCAAATAATAAATATTATCACAATTCTCTATTAGTACTCATTTTTACATATTGCATTTTTCATAAAAATATACATTTCTTATACATAATATTTATTATTATTATTTTATATATGTATTATGGTTATATGTTTTTTTATTTCACACTTATCCTTATATGTTTTTTTTAACTTAAAAATATTTTTATAATTTAAAAAACATATATATCAAATATCTTGAAGCATGATAAATAAAACAAATATATATGTAAATAAATTACATAAATATAAAAAAATAAAATCAAATAATAATATAAAAAGATAAAATAAAAAAAAAAAAAAATAAAAGAATAAAGAATTTAATAAAAAATTATAAATATATAAATATTAAGAAAATTGATAAAAATAAAAAAAGTAAATAAGACGCACCTCCTTGAAATTTGGAAAACATAAAAAAAAGGAAAAAAGATCAACTGAATAAAAATATTAAAAAAAAAAATGTATATAATATAAATATATTTACAAGAATATATATATATAATATATATTAAATTGAACATCTATGATTAAATATAAAAAAAATTTTAAAATAAAAAGAAAATTTTATAAAAAAAAAATTATGCAAAAAAAAATATATATATATATATATTTATATATGCTAATATAAAGGACAAAAATTTGAATATACAATGATATTTTTGTTAAATACTACTAAAACATTTTTTCAGTTTCTACATAACACAATTTATATTAAAAATAATAGTTTATATTGCATGCAGATAATTTAATAATCTAGTCTTTTTTCTTATACAATTTTTAAATTTTCATTTTTAAATTATGTGATTTTTTTTATGGATAAGAATATATATATTTCTTTGTGAATGTAATTTAGTTCTTTAATATTGCTTTTTAATAAATCATAATTACTTTAATATGCCAAATCATATAAAATTATAAATTAATGTATTCATATGCTTTTAAATTTGTTAAGTGTGTTTGTGACTATCAATAATAATTAAATATGTTTTCAAAATAGCACTACATATTATTTTGAAGATAAAAATATAAAGTTAAAATATATAAATCATATGCATTTTTTATAAATATCATTAATTTTTTTCTTCAATGTATTAATAATATATACAATTATTTATGCAATAAAAAATATGTTTATAATACATTTTTATTTATAATTCTTTTTTATTTTATTTTATTATTAAATTTAAATTCATTATATAAGTATAATAATACAAAAAAAGTGAAAATTTGTAAATATTTACATAATATATATATATTATTTACACATATACATATATATTATATATATATGTATATATTTATGTATACGTATATATATGTGAGTACTCGTATTATATATATATATATATATATTTATATATATATATATATACATAAAAGTGTAACTCGATAATTTTTCTTTCCTATATAAATATTAGTTCTAATCCTATTTCTTTAGATTTTTATTTACATATTATTTTATTTTTTTATTTTATCTTATTTTTTTTTTTTTTTATTTTATTTTATTTTTTTTTTTTTTTTTTTTTCTATTACATGAATTATATATTATTAATATTTTTTTATTCTTTTTATTGTTTTATTCCATGATTATGCACGCATTTTTTTACTTGTGTGAAATTTTATAATTGCGATTACTCTCTATAGTTTGAAAGAAAAACATTTGTGTGTAATTCAATTATAAAAATAAATATAATAATTTTTTTACGAAAAATAATATAATTTATAGAAAATAAATATATTATTTATTTACCAAAAATATAAAACGTATAATTTAAATTTATTACACACATTTTTGCGCGATTGTGAAAGCGTGTTTATTAAACATTAACATATATGTAAAAAAAAAAAATTAGATTTAAAAAAAAAACTAATAGAATATGGAGGTGCAGCAGTCTTATGTTATGAAAAAATAAAAAATTTAATAGAATAATTTTTTTATATTTTTGTAGAAATTAATTATAGATTCCATATTTTTTTTTTTTTTTTTAATTTTAACATTTGTTAGACTTCAAATTGCAATACATTTGAATAAATTAAATATATTGTAACATAAATTGAACATATTTTTAAATTAATTTTTTTTTCTTATTTTTGTTATAGAAATATACACGTAAGTATTTTAAAAAATAAAATATATATATATATTCATATATATATTATATCAAATGTTAGTGTAATAATTTTTATTATTTTAAAATTTGATTATAATATTTATAAGTATGTTATAAAATTAAAATAAAATGATATATATTTGAATATTTCTATATAATTTTTTTTTTGTATGTACAAAGTATATAGGTGTAATTATTTTTTTCTTTTATATTTTTACACATTTTTTTATTTTTTCATTGATAGTACACTTTGTTCATTGTTGCAAGTTGTATTTTTAGTTTTTTTGTTCTATTTATTTATTTTAATAATAATAAAAAAACATTTTGTGCGTTTTTATTATATTATGAATAATTGCAATTTTTATATTGTTAAATGTATATAAATTTTGCTAAAAATTCATTATAAATATTTTGCACAATTTTTTGTGATATTTTACTTAGAGTAGTAACTTTTTTAATTTCTCAATTACTTTTGAAATTCCTATTATCAATGAAATAATTTTCTTTTCAATTCATATCGGTTTTATTTTTATAAAAGTAAAATAATTTAAAGAATGAAAAAGAAAATAATAATAGTTTAACTATTATTAGTAATTAAAAATTTATTAATAAACCAATTTTTTTATTTTATGATGTATAGATATATATTTAATTAAAAAAAATATATGACTAATGTAGTTAAAATTTTTTAAATAAGACAAACAATATGTGTGAATGAAGTAAATTATTTTGCATAAATATATTTTTATATATGCTTTTATATATACGCATTTATTACTTAAATTAACTATATATATGTTTAATATATTAAAATTTTATAGTTTTTTTTTTTTCTTAAACTTGATCTACTTTAAACTCAAATTAGAGTAATAAAAATATCTATATTCATTTTGGAGAAAATGTAACAAAATAAATGTGTATCTTTTTTTTTCTAATTTTATATATGTTATATGTTTCATTAATTCTATTATATAAAATTCTAAAAAAACATATTAAAGCAATAAAAAAAATTATATGAATAATTTTTCTTTTCTTTTTGATCATATGATAAGTTATGTAAAATATCAAAAAATATATACTTTTTTAAGTTATTAAAATACTAAAAGATAAATAGATAAATTATTTTTTCTAATCAATAAAACATTTTTTAATTTTGTTAATATATAAAGTATTATTTTTTAAATTTTAATAATATCCTAAAATTTTACCTTAGAATAATTCTAGATATAAAAAAACATTAAAAAAAAAATAGAGGAATTATCACTAATTAAATTAAAATGAGTATTGTTTTAAAGAAGATTTACATGATAATTATAGTTTTTTTTTTTATTTTAATAATTTTCTAATATAGTAGAAACTAATTATTTTTAAAATATTTGCATTTTTTTTGTTGATTTTCTTTATAAACTATTGTATATAATGAACATTTTTTAATTCTTCGAAAAAATTTATTTGTTAAAAATTAAATAAAAAATATATTGTAAAAAATTTTTTCTTTTATTTCTTTTTAAATAGATAAATACTAAAAATTTATATCTTCATAAAATAGTAAAAATAATAATTGATATATTCACATCACTTATTTCATTAAATCTGTATGTGGTTAATTTATTATCGTTGTTAAAAAAAATTTAAGCAAAATAATAAATAAATAAAATAGTTTAAGTACATTACATTTATAAATACACAAGAATTTTATGTAAATTTTACATAAAAATTAAATAAGACAGGAACAAATATGCACGTTGAGCTTTTTACAAAAAAAAAAAATAAAAATGTGACTTCTGAAATAAAATCACTTTTTTTTTTTATAACTTTACTTTTCTTCTATATACAAATATATTCCATGATTTTTTTTTTTTTAGTAAAATTTTTTAATATAAGAAGTTAAAAGTATATTTTTAAAATTTAAACTAAACAAATACTATAATTGTAATGCTAAAAGTTTTTTTGTAACAATAAGTTAATAATAAATTAAAACTAAAATAAACTATAATTTTAAGAAAAAAATATATTATAAAAAAAAAAAAAAAAAAAACAAATAATAAAATAAAATAAATAATTTCAAAATAACGTATCCTTCATGTTTATTTAAAAAAAAAAAAAAAAAAAAAACAAATTAAATAAAACAAATTAAAAACATTTAGAGTCGTTTATGAATTTTTTTAATTCATTTTTCTAAAACTTAAGAGCTTGCATATTTTTTCTTAAAATTATCTTAAACTCTTTTTTTTAAAATATAAAATCAAAATATATGGAGAAATGTAAATGTAAAATATTAAATGAAAAATTCCCCATTGTAATATGCATTACGGTTAAAAAAAGGGAACAATTTTTCTGAAAAACTAAATACCAATTTAGAAAATTAAATATATATTTTTTTATATTTTATAAAATAATTATATACATGCAAGTACTAATAAAAAAAGAAAATGGTTTAAATAATTAAAAATATTACATTAAATTATATAATTCCACTAACTAGAAATTGTTTATATTATTAACGTAGTAAATTCACATATATTTATTTATTTTTATTAAAATGATATAAAAGAATTGTTAGAAATTTGTTTATTTAAATAACTTTATACAAAATTATATTCTAATTATTCCTTAATAAATATCAATAAGTTAAATTAATAAAATTATAATTATTGATTTTTATTTTATTATGATATTTAAAGGCATTCATAATACATATATTATTAATTTTATCAATTTTGTCAAAAATTGGAATCAAATATATTTTATCATTTTTGTTCATATTATTAAATCATTTCATAATTTTAATAAATTTATATATATATATATATATATATATATATATATATGCAATTATTTTTTAATCTATAATTGATATTATTAGGGATATTTTAATTGATTATGTTATTTATTTATATTGTTAAAATTATTTATATTATTTTGTATATAAGCGTTGTTTAAATTAAGTAATTTATTAATATTATTAATGTTATTTAAATAGTATATATTCTCATTACTATTTGAATCATCATTATAATTAAAATTACTCAAATTAAACATGTTATAATTATTATTCAAATTATCATAATTATCAATTACATTTAAATTATTAAAATTATTATTACTTAAATTGCTATCATTATTCAAATTACTGAAATTATTCTGATTATTTAAAACATTAAAATTAACATTATTATTAAATCTCAAACTATTGTCATTTATTTTATTAAAACTGATATTATTTAAATTATTCAAAATATTATTATCATTTAAATTATAATTATTAACATTAATATCATTATTACTAATGTTTATGTTACTAAAATTATAATTATTATTCATATAATTAACTTCATTAGGATTTTTTATTTCACCAAAATTATTATGTGAAGAATCAATATTATTTGTATTAAATGCTTTACTTAAATTATCAAACTTATCTCCTTTTTTAACATTATTAATATCATTCATATTATTATTATTTAATGCATAATTAATATCACATTCATTAATTGGTGAATCTAGATACATTTCATTTAATTTAGTATTTAGTAGATCATTATTTTTTAAACAAAAATTATTTTCATTTTTACTTAAATCATTTAAATCAGTGGGTTCTATTATAGTATTATTCATAACAAGTGAATTATTTATTAAATTATTTTCTATTTCATAATTATCGTTATTATCTAAGGTATTATGGTTTTCATCAATCTTTTTACCAATTTCGTTTTCATACTTATATTTATTTAATAATATATTAAAGTCCTTGCAGTTGATCATTAATGGTTTATTTTTTTTTATATGATTTTTTAAATTTTTATAAAAAATATCTTTTTTAGATAAAAAACTAAAAATATTCTTTAGATTAGAATTTTTTAGTGTTATGTTATTTTCATATTTATAATCTGAAACACTAGTATTACCTTCAAATGGTATTATTGCTAACTCAAATGAATGCTTTTTATTTTCATCTATCTTACTTTCTGATAATAATCTATCATTATTCCTTGAAGAGTTTTTAATGCATTTATCATTTATTTCATCTATTACTATATTACTAACCCCACTTGATGAATTATTTGAAAAAGCATCATTCGAAAAATTAAAATTTTTTTGAGTTTCTGTAAAATTTCTTTTTTTATTTTTATCAATAAAGTTTGCTTCTAATTTTCTTTTGTTCTTACGATTTAAACCAGAAATAATTTCAATATTTTCATAATTATTTTTCACTTCATCTTTCAAATCTAAATTATGTCTTCTTTTATGGAAAGCAAACATATACATGCTATTTTGTGAATCTAAATTATTGAAGTTTTCAAAACTTCTTTTAAAATTTTTACAATTTAATATATTTTCATTTTCATCCTTTTTATTCATTCTTTTGTTTCTTTTTTACCCTTCAATTTAAAATACATATATACATATATATATATATATATATATTTATATTATGAGAGAGAAATTCTTGTTTTTCATAAGAATTTTCTAAATCATAATAAATATTTAATTTTTCAATAAATAATTTATTTTCATATAATTTTTTTTTTATTTTCACAAATATATATATAAATATTTTTTTTTTTTTTTTTTTTTTTTTTTTTTTTTTTTTTTTTTTTTTTTTTTTTTTTTTTTTT